CCAGCTGCTCTGCTCCGCTCCTCCCCTCTCAGACTTTAAGGCTCTAGCTGCGCTGGGGAAGCGCCGGCCGGGGGCGCAGGGTCTGGGGGCTGCCCGGCAAACCGTGAAGCCGGTAGCGCTGGGGCAGCCCTTTCCCCCTGGCTGGGAGTGGGAGGGAGGAGGGGGCGGAGTTAGGGCGGGGAAGGGGCGGAGTTGGGGCGGGGCTAGGGGTGGGGAAATGGGCGGGGCCAGGGCCCGTGGAGGGTCCTCTTTTTTTATTTATGAGATATGGTAACCCTAGGTTAGAAGGACTGCATTTGGGTGGCACAGGGCACTCTCTATCCTCTCACAATGGGCTGAATATACTGCCTTTGCAGCAGGAAGCTGCAGCAGGTAGTAAAACCCCATTTCTCTTGAACACCAGTGCAGAGTACTAAGCCATCATACTGTGGTTACTCTTAGCTATTTTCACATTAAACAATTATTTTTCAAACGGAATAAAAAAAATCAAAGTGGAATTTCGACACGCGTGTGGTATTTTGTTAGCTTACCTCATCAGAGTCAGACAAGACTTTCTTCTTCATTGTATTATATAATGGAATTATATCATAGGAAGCTTGGTCTCTGCACAGCAAGAAATATTGTATGTTAACAGAGTGTATATTTGTGTCCCGTTGTATATTATCAACTTGTTTTTAGAGGTGGAACAAATTTTTTCAAGTCATACGTAATCATGACTACAGAAATACTGATTAATACCGTAGGAATTCTAATCAGAAATATAACAATAAGGAAGTTAGTTTATTACATTGGAATTTGTAAGGAACCTCCAAAAATCTGATTATCTAAATTTCTTAAAATATATAAAAAATTAACAGATTATTTTTAGGGTTGGCATAATTTGATTTTTTAAATTCGATAGCTAATATCGATGTTTAATTTTAAGCATTTTTTTCAATTTTTATCAATTTAGATTTTTACAGTTACAGAAAATTATAGGGAGATCAGACAATTATTCAATGATAGTAGATGTTGAGTAGATGATAGTAGATGTTGTTCAAAAACTTAAAATTTTACAACCGTTGAAATGCAAGTTAACATCACGTCAGAATACATGAAGTAACTATCCTTATATCAAAATCTAGTAAGTTATCAAGAAGCATTTTTCTTACTTTGCTGAGTTGTAAATTTTAGTTATCGTCAATGGAAATATTTTTTGTTGGTGTATGTGTATTACGGTGAAGTCAACATTTACCGATAAAAATCTAATCCTGCCAACGCTAATTATTTTACAGTAACAGATATTTTTAAATGAAAAATGTCACTCCTTCAGCATAAAATAATCAGTTATAAAAATTCTAGACTTTATCCCAAATACATTATTTTTGGATTTAACCTCTTAGAATACAAAACCTTTCACCATAACCTAAAATTATATTAATTTGAAAAAAAAAAGGTTAATATATATTAGTCTTGGTAATGTGAGACATTATTTGTAATTAAACAACTTTTTTTCCCCTAACATTGCTGTTTGAAGTGTGTTGTACTAATATTTGTTACTGTTTAGTACGTTGTATGATTTAGTTCAACGAAAATGAATTACTGGTTTGGGGATCTTGACTAATTTGGCAAGGCATTATACTAAAGCAGTTACCTTAAATGAGAGGAAATTTTCCCCAAAATATTGACTGTGTTATGTAACAACACAAACTATCACCCACAGGGGTGTATACTAAGCAATTCTGCATTAGAGACACATCTGATCAATCCATAGGATGCTGTTGAGAGCAGCAGTTGAGATTCACAGAAAAAAAGAAAAGGGATCATTGTGATCAACTAGCCTGACCTCCTGCATAACACAAGTCATAGAACTTCCCTGAATGAGTTTCTGTTTGAACTTGAGTGTATCTTGTAGCAAAACGAACAATCATGATTTAAAAACTGTGACTGATGGAGAATCCACTATGACCCTAAGTAAGTTGTTCCAATAGCTAATAACGCTCATTGCTATATTTGCGCCTTATTTCTAGTTGGAATTTGTTTAACTTCAACTTCCAGCCATAGGAGTTTTGTCTGCTAGATTGAAGGGCACATTGTCAAATATTTGTTCCCCACATAGGTATGGGGAACAAAAAATACAGACTGTATTATAGCCTACAGACTATGATCAAGTCACCCCTTTAACTTATCTTTGTTAAGATAAATGGATTGTGATCCTTTAGTCTACCACTATAAGGAATGTTTTCTAATCCTTTAATCATTCTTGTGGCTCTTCTATGAAACCTCTCCAATTTATCAACTTCCTTCTTGAATTGTGGACAGCAGAAATGGACACAAAAATCCAGCAGCAATCGCTCCAGTGCCAAATAAGGAGATAACATAACCTCCCTACTCCTACTCAAGGTTCCCCTCTTTTTATGCATCCAAGGATTGCATTAGCCCTTCTGGCCAAGAGCATTGCTCTGAGAGCTCATGCTCAGCTGATGTCACAATGACTTCCAAGTCTTTTTCAGAGTCACTGCTTCCCAGGATAGAGTCCCCCATCCTATACATATGGCCTTCATTCTTTGTTCCCAGATGTATGCATTTACATTTAACAGTATTAAAATACATATTGATCACTTGCACCCATCTTACTAAACAATCCAGATTGCTCTGTATCAGTGACCTGTCCTTTTTTGACTGTTTACCGCTTCCCCAATCTTTGTGTAATCTGCAAACTTTATTGGTAATGATTTTATGTTTTCTTCCAAGTCACTGATAAAAATGTTAATAGCATAGGGCCAAGAGTAGTAAAGGACAACCACAACATCTTTGAGATGTTCTGCTTTTTCAGGTCAGTGATTATATAACTTACAGACTTAGACCTAGTCTACACAAAGACGCTGCAATGGCTGATTTAAAGGTATGTTTTAATGGGCACAAACTAAATAATACAAGCTATTATTAAACCAAAATAAGAATGTCCACATGGTGTTTTGCACTAGCTTACCTAAATCAGTTTTTTTAAAAGGTATCTTTAGTTAAACCAAGGCAACTTTTGTGTTTAGCTCAGACCTTAGTCAACAAAAAAGCATGTAGGAACAATGGATTTAAAAAAATAAGAAATACACGGAATGCTACCAAAAAAACCTCCCAATCCTAAAAACACACAGATTTACTGTTTTTGGCTATTTTATTGCTCCTTTACTATGCAGCTTAAAACACTGATTTATAAACTGGAATTAATTTACACATCACCTTTACTATTTTGAAAACAAAATAAACAAAAACGTTGATGTTTCCAGGCAAGTTGCTACACACGTGCAATAACTTTAAAGTATTTGATGCTCTTCACTACAGAGCATACATCCTACGTCAAAGTCACAAATGATAAGTTTCAGTGACTCCAGGAAATGCATATACACTGAGGAAATATTAAGAAATGCATATCAAACAGCGGTTCTCAAACTTCATTGCACCGCGACCCCCTTCTGACAACAAAAATTACTACACGACTCCAGGAGGTGGGGATTGAAGCCTAAGCCGACCTGAGTCCTGCCGCCCCAGGTGGGAGGGGCCGTAGCTGAAGCCCTCGGGCTTCAGCCTCAAGCAGGAAGCTTGTAACCTGAGTCCCACTGCTCAGAGCTGAAGGTGATGCCTGAGCTTCGTCACCCAGGGCTGAAGCCCTTAGGCTTGGGCTTCGGCCCTGGGTGGTGGGGCTTGTATTTCAGCCATGGGCCCCAGCAAGTCTAACACCAGCCCTGGTGACCCCATTAAAATGGGGTCCTTACCCACTTTGGGATCCCAACCCATAGTTTGAGAACTGCTGCGCTAGATCATCTCCTTATGAGCCATTATGGCTTACTAGATAAATAAATCTGTAGATGTTTTCTTTTCAAATTATTTAAATATGCATTTGCTAATGAACATTCTGTGATATATCACATAAGTATTATTTGCCCACTCGCAGATAACTAATACAGCTTTGAACATATATGACGACTTTATCAAACAAATATAGGACTACTGCAGCTTTTCTGAACTTTCCTTGAAACAATTCTGTTTTGAAGATCAACAGAAAGGGTAACATTGAGAAGAAAAACTGTCATACTAGAGTCTTGTGTTCTAATGATTTTAATATGATAATTGATGCTTATAAAAAGTAAGACTAGATCCTTATCTAATGAAAGACCTTCATTTGTTTATTTTTCCTCAAAGGATTATTGAGGAGTAGTAGTGATGCTATCGTTAACACCGTGTTCTATATTATATTTAAAGCTGAAATTCAACCTTTATTGTATATGTAATGCACAATGTGTCTGCCCCAAAGTTTCAGCGCATAACCTGAGTAAAAAAATAAGAAATACATGGAACACTATAAAAAAAAAAAAACAGTCCTAAAAACACACAGATTTACTGGTTTTGGATATTTTATCAATTTTCTGGTAATTTTCAAGTAAATCTGTTAATTAATTTGAGTTCAACCAGTTGAAAATTAGCCTTAAGACAATTCACATTCTGAGTCTCTCAATTTTTTGGGCCTCTCCAGTTTCAATAATATACTGTACAAAGTCAGAAATGAATGCATAGTGAAAGTCTGGGGGTCCCTCTGAGGTTATGCAATTATTTTATTAATAAAAGGAAAAGATTAATTATGTTATTCATAACCAAATCCTTATGCCCAGCAGTTAACAGATGGAGAACATGAAGTATATTTGCTACCTCCATTCTCTGATGAGGTATGTGTAAGCCTTTTTGAACACTTTAAGAAAGGAATACAACACTCCCTTTTGTCATACATCTCCAGTAATGTTCCCTGCATCTGCAAATGGTACATGGGGAATGGCTTTTGCTAATGTAGGGGCATTTGTGTTGTATTGGAAAAGAGGATCTTTGACAAAGACCAGTAATTCTGTCAAAGACCAGGATTCGTTGTGAAACCATTCAGGCCTGAACCAGCTTGGATGCCAGCTTTTCTACACTGCCATCCCCAAACAGGAGTTTGAGAGACTTTCCAGAACTGCACACAAGGGATAGGTGGAGAAAAGGAAAAAAGAGAAGCCTGGCTTGTTTCTGGTAGTAGTGGCAGTGAGTTTGGAATGCTGGCACTCCTAGTCGGGTAGAGTTAACATTGTGTAGTGGTTATTCTAGTAATAAGGGGTGGCGTCTCTGTGGATGGAGGAAGAGGGGGTATATATTGCTGATGTCTTAAAACAATTTCCTTGCTTTTGTGTTAGGAATATAATGTATAGACTGACCTTTAACCGATACACAACATAGAATGTGTGTGTATTAATAAGTCTGGTGTCAGGAAGAGGCGATGCAGAGGCTTTGGGTAGTGGCGGCTTCAGCACCAACAGCATCTCAATTTTGTGTGAGAGAGATACCCTCCTCCCTGCCAGGCAGCAGAGAAGCTTCTCCAACCCAGGATAGAGAGAATCTTACTACCCCTTACTGGTACCCGAGGATTTATCTTGCTGAACTCCCACTGCAAAGTACCCCAATCCTCTTCTTTTGGCTGTGGGGAGCCTGATATGTTCAGGGTGGGAAGACTGTGCTGTGACTGTAGAAGTGGCAGCTCCTCTCCCAAATGGAGGCAGCTGCCAGCCTAGCGCTGGGAGGGAATAATGAGCCCCCAGTTACAGAAGCAGAGGCCTGGAAATCAGAGAGCAAGCAGTGAGTGAGCGACTATATGAAACTGAATGAAGAACAAAAAGGGACTGAGTGGGACCAGGCCCAGCAAGAAAAAAAAAGAACCTGACCAAAACAACACATGCTACTACACACACTTCTCTGTCTGGGGAGAGAATGAGAGAACAAACACCACATGACAGATATGTAGTCATGTTGCTTAATGTATTACTAGAAGGCGCTCATGTACTATGGTGATGGGCATGGTATAAGAACCTATCCAAAACAGAAAAAGGGATGGTTATTACACAGTATCAAGCTGAAGGGTTTGGGCATGTGCCTCTCTCCCCCAAGATATTGGTTTGGAGTCAGCTACATGTGCTTATATTGCCATTGCTGGACAAATCAAAATTCCAGACTTTGCACCTCTGCAGGACTCCCCTCACAAAGGGTATGTGGGATTACAGACATTATCTTTTACTGAAATTTGTACAGGATCTTGTTCTTCAGCTCCCATTTTGTTACTTTTGTGCAAGAGGCTTATGGAGGATGTTTTACCTAGTTGACTCTGATTCACTAGTGCTATCAGGCACCTGCCTTGGCCCAATTTGAGCTCTTTGGTTGAGTATTGGTATGTCTACACTGCAACTAAAAAACTGTGGATGGCCCAAGTCAGCTGACTCGGGCTCGGGCTAAGGGCTGTTTAACTGCAGTATAGACATATACCTCTATGTGTGGCTCCTAACAACGAACAAGAACTGGGTAAGCATTTCTGTGATTTAAGGATGAGACAGCTCTTACACAATGTGTCTAAGGACTTGTCTACACAAACATTTAGCTGGTGACAAACTGGGATGTAAATCTACTTGGCATTTCCCTCTGCATACTAATTGTTCGTGTGGACCCTTCTGCTGCACACTAACAATTCTCTAATGCTCTTTGATCTTGACTAGATAGGCCTGATCAAGATGGCACAGTATATTAATAAATTGTTAAACAAATAAAATGCTGACAAAGACTCTTATTCCTATTCTCTACTGAATTTTAGTATGAGACTGGAAGGGCCCATCTGGTTTAAGAGGCCATGACTGCACTACTGAAAAATCACTCCCTTACTTTTTTGTTTTAAACTTGCCCTTTACTTTTTTTCCCGCTGGAGAAAGGAGTGGAGGGGGAAGAAAATAAATTGAAAGTAGGTTTTTACATCAAAAATTCTCAAAATATTTTATTTAGAATTTTAATCAAAAATGAAATGTTTTACAAACCACACAAATTTTTCATGAAACACAATTTCCATTTTCCAACTAGCTCTAGTTACACTAAACGGGAAGGTTTTAGAATGAAATTCCTACAGGTACTGAATTATTAGCTCCATGTTTTAATACTGTGTTAAGGAGATTATTTTTGTATCTATACCCTCTATAAACCACTAAATCTATCACTTGTCAGAAAGCTTATGTAGGAAATGAAAAATCAGACTATATATCATAATTAATTTAATTCTGAAATTTCCCTTTCAAGAGTAATTGGTATGTTTCTGCTTTTAGAAAGTTTCAAATATTTCTTGATATTCTACATAAATATTTCCTGAAAAAAAAAAGCCTTAGGATGTTAATGTCCAGATTCAATTTCTAATTTGTCATTATTCAATTCCTTGTTTCTGAAATGTTTTGTTTTATAAACTACAGTGCATTAAACTGAATCCTATTTTGCAGTAATTGACATAATGTTCTTTACATAGCCCTTGAGTTTCCCCTCTCCCTTTCTAAAGATAAATGTTTTGCACTTCTGACCTTCAGTAAAGTAGATGGCAGGCTCACATTAACATGCAAAATTATCTACTAGTCACTTTTTATCTATTGTTAGAAAATAGAACAAAAATATTAGATCTGTTCATCAACTCACTTTATGAAGTGTAGCAGAAGATCTGTAACGAATTTGGCAGATTTAACAATAGGGCTTCCTGGTTCATTGAACGTGCGTGTATTATGTTCTATGTACCGAACTTCCCACATAAGTGAAGAAAGCCGCCTTTGTGGGGAAGGAAAAAAACAAACATAGAAAAGAAATTGAACAGTTACATATTATAATATCTGGGTTAAAATTTTTAAAAAGTCTCCCATATCTCCTCTCAAGCAGTTTAAAAAAGGAGTAACAGCCAAAAATTACAGTTCTTGGTTAGAGCAAGAAATCATATACTCTTATATAACTCTCTTCCTGGACAACAGCAGGCAGTTTTCTCTTGCTTCTGGCTCCTACATGTGTGTCTGATGTACATGGGGAGGGTATGTGGCTAGTGAGTGAAATGAGGGGAGAGCTTTGAGACCCTCACCACCAGTCAATCAGAAGATGGCTCAGAGGAATGTACTCCCATGCTTCCCAGGCAATTCAGCTGGCTATCTATGGCTCTTCTCTGTTGCCCAGGCCTGGTCCTTGCCCTCCTAAAGAAGATGGTTAAGGGGACAAAAAATTTCCTCTCATAGGCAGAGTCCTAGAGCAACAGCTAGAATGTAGCTCTGATGAATACAGCCCCCAGTTACAGAACAGCAGTCCCTGCCTGCAATCACAGCACAAGTAAATGCATTTTAAAAAACTGATGCAACTATTAATATTTTCTATGTTGTATGATTGTCAAAAAATGAGGACACCCCCCATTTCAAACTAAATTCATTCTTAAAAGTGGTATGGAAATTGAGAGTAGGGCCAACTTCCATTTTTGTTGCAATTGCAAAGTACTACGGAAGGAATTTCTAAGAAGCATGTCTTAACTTTCCCCCCCGCCCCTCCCTAATAATTATGAAACCAGACAGAGTGAACTGGAAGACCAATTAATATATTCTACTGAGTGCATATGCACACTAAGAAGACTATGTAAATGTGCTTTGTGTGAACGTGGTACTCAATTCTACAATGTGCTAAAAATACAGTGAAGGAAGGTAGGGTCTTCCTTACACAGTGGTAATATGCTAGGCTTAAGTTTAACAGTCTCTTGTTTCCAAAGGCTAATGACATGTCCCAAGTAAATATCATGGCAAATTACCAGAGATTTCACAAGGGGAGATGCAGTTAACAAGTTTACGTAACTACTGTAAAGGAAAATAAAACTGAAATCTTACCAAGAAGCAAATACAGTACAAAGAAAATGGAGCTTACTTACCTGTAACTGGAAGTATTCTTTGACCTGACCGCAGCATACAATATGGTTTGGCACATGGGCCTTTTGGTGAAATTGTCTAGAACTATGCCAAGTTGGTTAGTACGTGCAATGGCTCTGTTTTTGAGAAATCACCATTTCCGTGTGCATACTGGTGACAGAACAAGTTCTTGGAGACACCAGAAGAACGGCCCCCTGCAAGGATCAATATTATCTCCAACCTTATTCAACTTATATCGGAATGACCTACTATATACCGGGTCTCGCAAGTTTGTTTATGCAGACGACATATGCCTTGACACTCAGTCACACTCCTTTGACATACTTGAGAGGATTCTGAACGCAGCTATGGTTGATTACGGTCAGCAGTGGCACCTGACACCAAGTAGACTATGTCAAGTGTCTTCCACTTACATCATGCAGAAACGGGCAGAGAGTGGAACATAGTTCTCAATGGTCGGCAAATAAAGCATGATTCACACCCGGTCTATCTAGGTGTCACGTTGGATAGAATTCTTACATATCATGACCGCAAAGACAGTGACTAAGGTCAAAACGTGGGGCACCAACGCCCAAACATTATGCACTTCAGCCTTGGCACTCTATTATTTAGTACTGGAGTATTGCGCTCCAGTATGGGCTTGCTGGTCTCACACAAGGATGATCGACGTACAACTTAATTCCACCATGAGTATCATTTCAGGCATACTTAAATCTACTCCCCTACCAGGGTTACTAGTACTCTGCAATATTGCTCTGCGCAGTGTTTGTAGGGAGGAGAGTGTAGCAAAGCTCGTGACAAAACTGTGTGATATGCTACATCTACTATTTAATTAAAGACTTGTTTAATCCACCACATGGTCATCAGCCTTCATTTCACTCGTTGTGGATAAGTTTACCAGGTGAGGTATTTACGGCAGAGGATGCATGGCAAGCTTCATGGTATGCAGAGAAAGTGACAAATTATCTTGTCTCGGACCCCACACAATGTCAACCTGGGTTTGATTTACCACACAGGGAATAGAGTCTTCTGAACTGGATTCGTACCGGACATGGAATTTGTGCTGCAGTGGAATTTCGGTGGCGTTTTAGAGACAGTCCACTATGTCAATGTGGGCAGCCACAAACCATGACACACATCACTGAGGACTATAAAATGACTCAACTTCCTGGAGGTCTTCATGCTTTGAACACTGTTGATAAGAATGCTGTGGCTTGGTTTGACCGGATTGTATACGCCAAATAACACTGGAAGATTATCGAGATGTGTGGTCCCTATCTGTATCCCTCAAGTAGATACTCAGGCATCTGAGTCCTGAATTTCTTATAAGCAGTGTCCACTGGCTTGCATGTATGTTGTAGCTCTCCTCATGCTCCCAGCTGAGGGCAAAAATGGAGGTGTGGATCTCTGCCTCTCCAGTTTTCCATTCTGACCACAGTGTAACAAATTCACAGCAGAGGGGACAGAGGGCAGGTAGTGGAATACAGGCAAGGACCACACATCTTGAAGAACTTCCAGTTACAGGAAAGTAACCTATATTTCTTCTTTGAGTGATGGTTCCTATGTGTATGGGAGAGCCACAAACTGTAGTCAAACAGGTGGTGGGAGCGAGGGCTGAGAAGTGGGCCCACCCACTCCACCGGGCTCTGTCCCAGGGCCCTGTGAGGACTATCAAAGGTCTGACAGCCACATGTGCCTTAAGTCTGCCTTCCCTAGGCCACTTCCTACCACTGCACGACTGTCCAAAATTCACCAAATTCACTTCAAGGAGATGTGCAGGGAGTCAGCTCATTGTTTGGCAGCTCGTTGTGGCTGTGCATGGTGTGATAGCTCCCTCTTCCTCAGGGTGGCGGCTGCCTCCTCCTATTGCTTGGCCCTCAGCCAGGTCAGTTCCGGGTGTCTCCCCTACTGGGATAGTCCATAAACAAAACTAGGTGAGTTAACACAAACAAACTGAGTCCATACAAGAGAAAGAGGAATGTCTCCCGATAGGGGTGTTTCTGAAGCAGGTTCTCCCTTCTATCAGGGAAAGATCTTTGGGCAGTTGTTCTAGGGCGAGATCTTGCCTTCCTTCAGCTCTTCTCAGGACCTGCGAGTTGCAGGTTTGTGCTCTTCCCTTGTCTGCCCCCAAATGAGCTATTCTGCTTCCTTTAAACTCCTCCTCCAGTCTGTGCATCCCTTACAGGCCCAGACCAGCTCCTTAACCCCTTGTTGACCAGTCTGGGGTTTGTATACCCCATCACACTGCCTTCCTTTATCTCATATGGGTCTCTCTCTCAGAGATGAATCTGAAGTAGCTTGCTCTTGGTGGAATAAGCCTTTACCCCTTCTGGTGGGGGGATGCCAGATAGTTGATAACAAAGCGTAATACAACCCAAGATTCATTTCAAAAGCCTCTGCGCTGATATAGGTTGACCTCTTGATCGTTCCGCTATGGAAAAAATAGTTTAGGTGTCTTTGTAATGTCCCTTGTTCTCTGCAGATAAAAGGCCAAAGCTCTCTGGATGTCCAGAGAATGCAGTCCTCTCTCCTCTTCCAAGGCACGTGGTTTAGAAAAAAATACAGGGGAGTGGATGACCTGACTCATATGAATCTCAAAAACTACCTTAGGCATGAATCTGGAGAGGGGACGTAGCAAGACCTTTTCTTTATAGAAGATAGTATATGGTGGGCCCACCATACAATAATAGGGTTAGAAGGGACTGTAAGGGTCATCGAGTCTAACTCCCTGCCAAGATGCAGGATTTGTTATGTCTAAAACATCCAAGACAGATGACTTATGGCCATAATCGCTCCCAGTTCACTGACTCTTCTGGCCAAAGTTATGGCTGTCAGAAAGGCCACATTCAATGACAGATGGATCATAGAGCATGGAGCCAGCGGCTCAAAGGGAGTCTCAGTGAGAGACAACTGAACAAAATTGAGGTCCCACTGTGGTGCGGACTTCATCACTGGTGGAAAGGATCTGAGAATTCCCTTCAAAAAATCTAGTTGTGATGGTGTACGAAAGATCATATGGTTATCCACTATAGGATGGAAAGCACTGATTGCTAAATGCACCTGCAGGGAATTGAATGCAAGATCCAAAGGCTTAAGGGTAAAGAGATAACTCTAATATATCAAGGATTCCGACAGAGTCCAGAGGCAAATTGTGTTGATGAACCCAAGTGGAGGAAAGCTTCTATTTAGCATAGGAACAGCTTCTCATAGAATCTTTTCTACTTTGGTTAAAGATGGATTGCCCTCTTGGAACATGAGTGTTCTATCCCTGATGCCCATCCAAATACCAGACTCTGAGTTGCAGTGGCCCTGGATTGTGACCTTGCCCCTGTGTTGCGTTAGAAGGTCCGGCAATGTGCCGATGTTCATGGTTGGCTGTACTGAGAGCTTCAACACATCAGTGAACCGGACCTGTCTCGGCCAGTTGGGTGCAATGAGGTGGAGTAAATATACCGACGCAGAGCTCTCTGTGCTGATGTAGATCTGCCCTCTATCTCAGCATATCTTAGGGAAAAAATGTGGTATCAAAGGAACTAGAGGGAAAGCATATGCCAGGTGGCCCTTCCACAACATGAGGGCATCTCCCAACAGGTCTTTCCCAGGGATGCTCTGGAGCAATACTGAGGAAGCTTCCTGTTCACATGTGAGGCGAAAAGGTGTCAGGCTGGCATTCCCCACTGAGCAAACATGTCACTGAGAACCAAATCATGACTCTGATTCGTGATTTGTGGAAAAACATCTGCTCAGGGAGTCTGCTAGGGAATTTTGCATCCCTGGTAAGTATAGTGTTGATGGAGTTATGCGATGTGATGCACAAAGAGAGATCTCATTCCCCCTTGCTTGTTTATATAAGATATTGCTGTCATATTGACCAAT